CAAAGGCAGCTTTGTACCCGAGATAAACAAGTACAGCAGGGTCACGCTGACTGAGAACCTCAAATAATAAAGCCTTCACCTCTTCCAATAATCCTGAGCTCCCTTACAACATGTTTTTATTCCTGATGTTACCTCTGCTGCTGCCTGAGGACTCATGGTACTTGCAGGAGCAAACTCTTTCCTCAGACTGACAAATATTCCTATTGCTTGGAAGCCTTGATGTTTTTCATGTCTTGCCTTCTTAACATCCAGTTGCATGGTCTATCTGGTGAGCTGCTTCTGAAATCGCATGGTTACCTTGTATCTTTCCTGCCTCTTTCTTCCCGAGTCTTCCTGCAACCAGCCACAAGTAAAGATTCAGTCTTTTTTTTTTTAAGATTTATTTATTATGTGTACAGTGATGTATTCCTGCAGGCCAGAAGAGGGCACCAGATCTTATTACAGATAGTTGTGAGCCATCATGTGGTTGCTGGGAATTGAACTCAGAACCTCTGGAAGAGCAGCCAGTACTCTTAACCTCTGAGCCATCTCTCCAGCCCAAGATTCAGTCTTTGGATGACTGTAAGTAGAATCCCAATCTTTATCCACCGTATAAAATAAGTGCCAATGCCATTACTCTTTTCGTACTGGCAAACCTTTTACTTCCCTGGTTACAGACATAATTCATATGCAATTTAAAACCGTAAGACAAAAATATAAAACCTACAAGCCACCTACTGCAAATACTCACTGTACAGATTCAACAAATCTGTAAGATGAAGGATTGTGTGCCGTTCAAGCATTTACTGGTGTAGTGTAGCATCTTAACTTGCACATGTGTGCATTTGTTGCATGTGTGACTTTTCAAACAGAGTTGTTTATTTTTATGTGTTTGAGTGTTTTGCCCAAATGTATGCACGTGCACCACTTGCATGCCTGGTGCCCACAGAGGGTAGAAGAGGGTGTGAGATTCCCTGGAACTAGAGTGCCAGGTAATTGGGAGCTGCATACGGATGCAAAGAATCGAACCTGGGTGGATCACAGAAATAGCATGGGCTCTTAACTGCTGAGTCATCTCTCCATCCCAGGACTCTGTCATTTTTTAAGCTAAGCCCTTGAGCAGAGGAATACAGAGACAGTGTTAATAGAGTTGAAGCATTAGAACCAAGGTGTCAAGTTGTCTAAGAATGCAGTCTGTAGAGATATATTTAATTTATGAAATACTATGTTTATCCTGTCATTTTCGTTATGAGCGCTTGAAATTTATTTTCCACAGTTGTATGGAAACTGTCTAAGTACATTGATTCTGACATGAACTATTTAATGCCAATATTTTTTAACCACATTGGAAACATTTAAATCCGTATTCATGTTACCTGTATTTCTATTGAAACTGATTACGAATCAGTTCTCACACACTGTTTACTGATATGGGCATTGAAAAATCTTGACATTTTAGTTGTCAAGCTTTATTCTTTCACATACCCTTAGAGAATTACAACACTTATTTTTACCGAAAAATAAAAAGCATATCTGCCAATAAGTGCGTTGTCATTGTGATTACCTTTTAAGGAAATAATTGCTTTTAGAAATGGAAGTTTTAATCAAAGACACATGTGTGGATTTGCCAACTGTTCTTTCCTGCTGGGTCTGCCAAACGACACTTGAGTTCTAGCTCTGACACGCATGAGGCCATGTGTATATTATGTGTGCAAATACACAAATCACAGTCATGGTAATACCTAGTCAATCCTGAATTTCAAGTCCCCCAGGATTCAGCTTTGCAGACAGGGTCCATATTTGTGTTAAAGGTCATGCAAGTTATGGAACTGAGCAATAAATACTAACTCAATTTCCTGGTCACCACACTTTTTCTAAAGGCCTGTTGATAGCTGGGCTCTGTTGTGGCATCTCACTGCTCCAGTATTTCAGTGAGGTGGGGTTCCTACTTTCTCGTCTCACTAACCCATGTAGCCTCCCTTAGAAGGAACCAGATGCGGAGCACAGAGCTAGGGGCTGGAAGCAGAGACCGTGCAACCTCGGGGTTCACTTCATAAAGATCCCACAGTACTGGAAGTGGTCGATTCATTTCCTCCTATTAGCCAACAAATACTATGAAACTCCAGGGACAATGGATGCTTCTTTACCCAGGGTATCTTACCCACATGTTCTTAAAAACACAACTTTAATTTTTAAAAATGCCATCATGACGAGAAGTCAGGACAACCACAGCAATCCATGTCCATCAGCGATCCAGCTAGAAATTAGGGTGGCTCATACTGTAGAACCATGTGTGTTTGGTGCAGCAGGAGAGGATGGCAAAGCCACGGGATTCTGTTTTACTGGTACTTAGATGGTTTTCAGTGTTTCCTGCTTTCCGAAAAAGATAACTCAGGTCACAAATTAAAATGGAAGAAGCACCCCAGAGCTGAATTAAAAAGTGACCCTTGAATATAAATGCTGTAGGCTGATTAACCAGGACATTCCAGTTTCAAAAACTAGGGGTTTCATTCCTAAGTGACATGTTTTTCCTTTTTCCTGTGTTTGCTGGACTCTTGATATGAAATAAATTCCCTCTAGTTTTTTAGAATCTTTTCTTTATACAAGGGATTAGTAAATATTTTTTTCTTGTTCTTTCGGTGTATGTTTTTATTTCTATATGCAATTGATGCATCAAATTTTTGTAAATATTCCAGGTTTCTGGCATGATGTTTTTATTTAAACATGCCTGTGCAGGGAGTCCCACAATGGAGCCTATTAGCATAGCATCATCTGGCATAGTTAGCCTTGTGTGTGCATATATGAATATCCAAGACCTATTCCATTCAGCAAGTTATAAGAATTTTCAACAATATGGATGAACTTAGAGGCTATTATGCTAAGTGAAATAAGCCAGATAAAGAGAGATAAATACTGTCTGATATTATGTATATGTGAAAGTGGAAGCATCACACTTATGGAGAAATAGTCAAATGTTTCCCAGGGACTGAGAGACAAGAGAAATGGGAAGATATTGGCCAAAGCACACAGACTTTCCTATGATAAGACAATAAATTCCAGGGTTCTAATGCACCACATCACACCTGTAGGTAATAGGAATGTATTGCATGTGTTTTCCTTTTAAAGATAATAGTTATCCTTGCTTCTTACCTATAGGAGTGGGGATTCTCTCCAACACTGCATCATTGTGTGTGCACATCCATGCACCATTTGATTCTTTTTCTTTATTGGCATGGAAAGCTCCAGACATGCTGTCCCTTCTGTATGTTCCACAAGACTTAATAAAAGCCTAAGACTGCATGAACTAGACCAACACTATGTGGGCTAAGGCACTTAGACTGACATCCAGATGTTTCATTGAGGGAAACCCTAGGTGTTTCCAGAAACGGTCTCATTGCACCACCAAACATGCAACTCTGAGACTCCTCATATACTCCTTGGCTTGTATCTACACAGATAATTGGAAAGTCACTCTTCTAGAACATTCTGTGATGCTTGGCCCTCTCAGAAGCCCAGGCTTCTGCTGCTGACTTTATTTCACTCTTGACTGAAATCATGACTTTCCCCTTCCCTGGCGCTTTCGGTCATTGTTCTTGTCATGATCCTGTCTCTCCACAGGGCACCCCTGCCCCTGCCCTGCCTTCTGCACTAGAGGTTTCAGAAATTCTCCAAATACTCAACTTGTTAGAGGTGTTTGCATTTCTAACTGAAGTCAGTGACAGGGAACACCAACTTCTCTGTCACACCCACCCAAGTCTCCCGTGGTGGCCTTCTGGTAAGTTGACTATTGGCAGTTCTGCTTCATGCCTCAGGACTCTGCATGCCTTTGTTTGTATGCTTCGATGGACTTGAAACATGATCTCAGAAAGTGCAGACAGCGCCTGCCATCTTTTCATGTCCAGTGCCAAACACAATGCTGTCACCTAAGCAAAAGTTGAGCCAAAAATATTTTTGCTCTCTTCCTGGAATCCTGTTACCTAAACATTCTGTCCCTGTTCTGGGGCTAAGACATGAATTTGAAATTATTTTTAGCACGTTTGCTTGCTTATTTATTTGTTTGGTGTGTGTGTGTGTGTGTGTGTGTGTGTGTGTGTGTGTGTGTGTACATACCATGATACAACTGTGGTCAGAGGACAACTTACAGGACTGTGTTCTCTCTTGCCACTATGGGGTTGTTAGGCTTGGAACTTAGGTCATCGTGTTTGATGGTGAGCAAGCACCTAGGCCCACCGACTCTGCTCACCAGTCAACTTTGGAATTCTTACTAGTCTCTCCGCATCTGCCTTGTAGTAGGCTTTATTGTACACATGTGGTGAGGAGAAAGCAAAGTCACTTTTACAAAGCTCACACGATGCCTTGCCTCGCTGGCATCAGGTAAGGACTCGCTTATAAAGTCATCAGTGAGAAATGAGCAGTACAATGTCAAACTACAGTGTTCATACTGAGAAGATGATGAGTACGTGGATACATTAAACAGCAATTACAGTGTTGATTAATTAAATAATTGATGAATGGTGAGATTGCTAATTATTCTTCAGAGAATCTTTATAAATCACTACTGGGAGTAATTACTGTGCTACTGTGCTTCCAGGAATTATTTGGATGACTTTTTTTTCAAACAGGAACGCTAAAGGTTGATATTATCATTTATTTGTTCAAAAGTTTTCCTTTCTCCTCTTTTTTTTCACTTAGGGACCAGTGTGTGTGAGTCACATGGAGCCCTACTCCTGGGCCAGAAAAGACAAGTTTGAAAACTGGGGCACTACAAGCAGGTGTAGCTAGATGCTGACAACAGAGAAAGATCCTAGACTTGGGTGGCGAGGAAGCGCAGCATTCAGGCAGAAGTGTCATCCTTAACAATATGAAAATCTGGTACTTAGAAGACAAAATCCAGGAAGGAGACATGGCCTGCTGGGTAAAGGCACTTGCTAACAAGACTGATGACCTGAGCTCAATACCCTGGACTCACATGGTGGAAAGAACATTCTAATATCCGCAAGTTGTCCTCTGACTAATACACACAACTCATGACACACACATACAATATATAGTTTTAAAGTCTTAAATTATTTAATGTTATCTTATATGTATTTTTTGCCTACACGTATGACTATGTACCACATGTGTCTGGTGCTCATAGAGACCTGAAGAAGGCATCATATTCCATAGAACTTGAGTAACAGATGCTTCTGATAAGACATGCAGGTGTTGAGAATCGAACCCAGGTCCTTAGGAAGAGCACCCAGTATTCTAACAACACATAATTTTTTTAAAGTTCAACTTTGTGGAAATCCTGGGTGGCAAACTGACTTCCGTGTGTCCCTTTGTGACTATACAGCATTTACTGAAGGGAACTGGATCAAATTTTCAAAAGAAATGAACTGCTTTCACACCTCACTTGGCTGCATGTGTCCTCTGGGTGTGTTGTACCACAATTACCATGCACCTTGAAGAAAGAAAGAAGAAAGATTATCTTAAGAAGAGTTGTCTGCAGTGGAATGCTGTTAGCATGCATGCCACTTGAATGCTTTTATTTATGTTATTTCACCCGGGTACTATGGCTGTCTCTTACCATTGTAACCTTGTATTAGACCACAGCAATGGTGACTAGTTGAATCAAGACCTATACAGAAGCCTGGCCAGGATAAAGACAGTGCCTCTAGTCTACACACCTTCTAGTTAATGGTAATCAAGATGCACTTGCTTACATTGAATGCACACTCAAGGATCAATTGCAGTAAATACATTTAGGACTTTTAAATACACATTTAATATTTACACAGTGTATTATAGAAACCTAATATTTTTGGTACTTTTCTTTATAATTGGTTAATTTGATTTTCAAAATGGTCCAATTACAGAAATGTTTGCAGTGAACCACTCAAACAGGGACACATACCACCTAAACCCAATTAAAATTTGAAATTTTTTGCAATAATCTATAAAGAAAAGTGTACTTGGGCTCTTAAAAAAAGAAAGGGGGGATCATCGTAGATCCAGAGAAATGTGGGACATACTGAAAAGAAAGGGTCCCTTTCACCTTCTCAGGATTCCACAGACTCCATGAAAAAATTAAATGAAGCACACTCTCCATGAATATTGATTTTTAAATTAACATTTGATTTGAGTCCGAGATCTATACTTTAGCACAACCTGAAAGTAATGGGCACATTATGCAAATGTGCGCTAAAATTCCATTTATAAATATTCTAATTCATGAAAGAATATCCTTTTACAAAATGTGTGTATGTGTTTGTGTGTGTGTTTGAGTGTATGCACAAATGCCAAGGCATGGGATGTGGGTAGAGGTCATCAGAGGACAACTTTGGGGAGTAAGTTCTTACCTTCCATCTTGTTGAGGCAAGGTCTCTTGTTGCTACTGCCAATGCATTGTGTACTTCATGCTAATGAGCCTGTTTGCTTCCAATCTCACTTCTGGAACGCTGGGTGCAACTACAGATACAAACCACACTATCAGGTTTCTTTGCATGAATTCTGAGGATAAAATCCAGGCCATCAGACTGACCCTACACGAACTTTTACCCTCTGATCCATCTGTGTAGCCTAAGAGAATATCTTTTCAAAAGACTAATTATTGCTTCTTATCAGGATTGAAGCAAACCAGGTAGTGGTGGCACACACCTTTGTTCTAGCACACAGGAAGCAGATGCAGAAGCAGAGGCAGATGAATCTCTGAGTTGTATACCAACCAGGTTGGCCTACAGAGTGAATACTAGAAAAACCAAAGCTGCATAGAGAAACCGTGTTTCAGAAAGAAAGAAAGAAAGAAAGAAAGAAAGAAAGAAAGAAAGAAAGAGAGAGAAAGAGAGAGGAAGGAAGGAAGAAGGGAAAGAGGGAGGGAAGGAAAGAGGGAGGAAGGGGGGAGGAAGGAAGGAAGGAAGGAAGAAAGAAAGAAAGAAAGCAGACAAAAAATATTGAAGCCAGTTCCACAGATGACACCTGCCTTTCTCCCTCAGAATGTTTCTTCCCTTGGCAACAGGATTGCAGGTCGCAGCCCATATCTGCTGTCACAGACCCTTGCAAGTAATAAAGGGCTTGCATTATCTACTTCCCTCCAGTGCAGGCTTAGCTATCAAGATTTGCAGGCATGAGCTGTAAATCTTCAACATGAGGCAGCCTTACCCAATTTCCAGGCTCCATCACTACTGATGGTATCCTTCAGGGGAGGAGACTTGTCCTGTTGCTTAAGGAATGGGATCGTCAAAGCTCCTCCTGCTCCCTCTACCTCCAAGTGCAGTATCACAGAGACTATGGAGTGGCTCTCATGCTTAGTACACTTACAGCCATCTCCAGACTTGCCCAACTCCATCCATACTATCTCTGTGGAAAGAGCTACCCTTCAGAGAACCCACGCCTTGCCTGGGTTGCCTCTGTAAGGGAACATCTACCCCGCTCTGAAACTCACTAAATCCACCTGACTCTGACCCTCAAGAGCTGCTGACCTTCCTCTTGTGCCAAGTGCTATTCATTAATGCTGACTTAATTAGAAAGAAAAGTGATCTGAAAAACAAATCTCTAGTTTGCTCAGCTTTATTTTTTCAGTGTGTGCTAGAGTCAAGCATAAAACTGACATTTTTTAATTGGGTACTTTTTTTAGAAACCCAAAACATCTTAACTTTTCCAAGTAAAAATATTTAGCTTCATTATACTGGAGCAACTCAAAAGGCAGCTTATTATTAAAGATTGCATTCTTTGAGGTCGTTAGAGCAAATTTGACTTGAAGTTTGGTGGTCTTGGTCTGGGAGCATGAATTCAGTAAGTCTCAAATTGTCATCTTTTAAATAAAACAATACCCACTGCATACATTTTTGTGCCAAAGAAGTCATACTGTGTTTAGCACAGTTCCACACAAGTATTCTTTATGAGTTGACATATTCAAAATCAAATTTTCAGTTTGGCATTTATGACATTCCAGAACATTTTCTCAATTTGTACCTCTAGCATCCTTTCCATTATTCTTTAACCATAGCTATTTGTATCTATAAATAGATAGTTTTTAAACTATATATTGAACATCTTCTAAGTGTTATTTGTTCCAAAATGAATTTTGGAATACTAAAGTAGAGCATATGATCACTGCCCTGAACAATGTTCTTTGTTTGGTAAAGAGAAGTGTACACATGGAAACAATAGTGTTGGATAAAGCATTATATCTACCTTACAAATATGCAGTCAGTGTGTATGTATTTTTATGGTGCATATATATATATGAGTAGATACTGCATGTCCAAATAGAAGTACCACGTTTCTAAAAGTGTAGGGCAGCGCTCCAAGAAGAGTAGAGCCCATATTAATGCTGGATAAGGAAAACACAGAACACTAGATCCTGAACTTCACAACAATTTCCGATGTAATTATTATACCTAATCATGAGGTATAATTTTCATATAATTTGATGCATACATGTTCTATTTTCAGAAACTGGGCCCATGTGTCGCCATCCCTTACTCTCAACAGGCACCTGAAGCTTTAATAGCCATAACAGAGGTGCAAGTACAGCATATGACAGAGCTGTCTATAGAAAAAGACTAAGGTCAGAAGGGTAGCGAGGCCAGAGTTTGTGGGCCTTGTGTGCTCAGCTGAGACATTCTCCCCCTGGACTCCAGTTTTTATCTCTAACTGACTTCCCATAGCATCCATCCTTCCCATGTTTCTTTTGCCTGGAACACTGTCCTCTCCACACATTGTCCATATGTAAACATGTCATCTATGTACAAAAACTTTTATCAAAGGCAGATTTTGAATGTGAAGTAGAATGGGAGGGAACTATGAAAGGATGAAAAACATTGCATCCTTAATTCTAAAGGAAAGATAGTTAAAGTCACACCTAAGAAAAACGATACAAATTAAAACTACATTAAGATTCCACTTTCCATCTACTAGGTCAAATCACTAAAAGTTTAGGAGTTTGGCAGCATGCCTTTTAGCCTGTCTGTGGGGAAACTAGAACTCTTACATGTGGTTGAAAGGAATGTAATGCAGTATAGCCCTCTATGGTGCAAACTGGGTGATGTTTAACCCACTTATGTTAGCAAGATTTTAGAAACATGCACCCTTTGACACAGATACCCACTTTCTGGGATTGCACCCCAGAAGGGCACTGCCAAGACTGTGAAAAGAAATATACACATGGGTATTCAACCTAGCGTATTTATAGTAACAAAAGACTGGGACCTTCTTCAGTGTTTATCTACTGGGAGCCATAAACCATGCTTGCAGCCACACAGGGGATGCTACGTCACCATAAAATGGAGTGAAGGTGGTCTTGATACCCTTGAAGAAAGCACCCTCTGAGATCTACTGCTAAAGAGAAAGGCAAGACAAAGAAAAAGTGTTATGTTATCCTTTGAAACCATTCACATGAAAGAGGAAACACTAAGGAATGTGTGCTTGGGTTGGGAATGATGACTCAGCAGTCAAGGACACTTTCTGCTCTTGGGAAGAACCCAAGTTCGGTTCCACATAGGACATCTCAATACGGCCTTTAACGCCAGTCCCAGGGGATCTGACATTCTTGCCTGCCCTCCTCCAGAACACACATGCACATGCCCACACATTTACACACATCCAAACAAAAACAAAAACTAAGTCTAAAAAGAATGCACACACAAACACAAACACTCTTATTACCTACATTCTCCCACAGTAAGCATAAGATGCACATCTTCTATATAATAATATGAAACATACTCTCTTATTTTAAATACAAAAAGTAAATGGAAACGAATATTGACAAAGTGCTAAGGAAGGAAAAAATGCATAAAGGGGCCCAGAGAGGAACTGGAAGAAACTGGACTTCTTTCTCTGAATGTAGCGTGCTTTATACCTGCATGGGAATCCTTTTTTATTTTGTTCTGTGTGCATTTTGCATGTTTACAAAAACAAGAAAACAAGGTGGGTAGTAGTGCTGATGTTGTGTTTTTGCGACCCCTGTTGGTATTTCTTTAAATAAAGCAGTCATGAAATCATGCAGATTTCTCTATTAGTGGGGGCCGCTTGCATGCACCTCAGCAGATCTCCAACTGGAGCGTGTAGTTCTGATTCTGAATGGCTGGCACGTTCTGAGCTTGGTTAGGAGAAATGACTGCTAATATTTAATTCCAGAGTAACTGTGGCTGACAATTAATTATAGGTTTCAAACTGGCTACTAGAAGAATTGCAAACCCACTTGGGAAATATTATAGTTCAGACAGTTTTTCTTAATTTAGATCTCAATTGTCCCCCAAAGGCTCATGTATTAAAAAGCCTCATCCCCAGAGCCGCCTCTGGGAGATTGTGGAACCTGAAGGAAGTATGGCCTAACAGGAGGAAATTAACTCATGGGAAGAATGTCCTTAAAGGGAATGTTGGCACTACCCCCATACCTCTTCCTGCCACTTGATGGCTTCCAGGCTACCAGAAGGTGAGCAGCTTGTTCCACCATGCAGTCTCTGTCATGATGGGCTATCTCACTCTCACTCCAGGCCCCTTAACAGTGGGCCTATCTGACCACAGCTAAAGCCTCCAAAACTGTGAGCAAAAATATAAATGATTCAAGCAAAAATGGTAAGTGTTTGAACTGAAATATATACACCAGATACCTTAGTCTGATCACTACATATCATCCATATATACTGATGTCACCTTGTTAGTATGAACTATTTTTTGCATCCAGAAATATGTCTCCAAGCTCAATTTACTAAAAGGGAAAAATTACAAAGTAGCAAAGCTTAGCTTGACAAATGGCTCTTGTTTGTTAGCTTTGAATCAGGGTCTCATACAACCCAAGTTGTTCTCAAGTTTGCTAAGTAGCCGAGGATGGTCTTGAAGTCCTGATTCTCCAGCCTCTACCTGCCAAGTGCTGAGATTGCAAAAGGGCTATCAAATGCAGTCTTGACTAAGACATCAGTACCCCCCAAACAAGCATTTCACTGACAATAATACAGTCAAAGAGAGTAAACCACGTAAGTACACACCATGGGGGGGAAGATGATTCATAACTACACATAAAGGGATGCTTCCAAAACACCAGGAAAGAAAAGAGGAGAGGGGACTCTGTGGTTAAGAGCACATGCTGCTCTTGCAAAGGAGCTGCGTTAGGTGAACAGTGCTCACCTGGCAGCTTACAACCATCTGTGATTCTAGTTCCAGGGGTTCTGATTGCCTCTTCTGCTCCTCTTGGCCACAAATACAGTGCACTCACACACAGGCAAGGCAGAACACTGGCACATACAAAATAAAAGTAAATATACCTTTAAAACACCCGGAGATGATACCTTGAATAATTAGGAAAAGTCAACTCAATTACAAAACAATATGGGGGACTGGAGAATCGGCTTAGTGGTTAAGAATACCTGTTGTTCTTGCAGAAGACACACATATCTAGTTCCTAGCACCTACATGGGTTAGCTCACAGCAGCCTGTAACTCCAGTTCTAGGGTATCTGATGTCAT